GCAGACCTCTCCTGTCTTGCCAGCCGCTCACCTCAACAGTGTATTTCAGTCAGTCTGCCTGTTCTGTTCCCCACTCTCTCTCTGGTGAATCATCTCACTCTCCCGCACCTCTGGCCTGCACCTCAGTTCTTGTATGCATAAATAAATAAATCTTAAAAAAAAATACAAAACCTAAATTACAAAGACCATTTATTTTTGATCTATTATGTAGAAGTTGGGGGTGGGATCCACCAGAAGTGTATTTTAAATTTTATTAGAAAGTAGAAATGTGAGATAATTGAAAAGTAACTTTTTAAAGATAATAGTGAATAGACATTTGGCTAGTAAGTCCTCAATCTTATTATAAAACTTTTAGCATAATATGAAAATAATGTGAGTAGAAAGAAACATAAAGGAGAAATCCTCCAGGAAGATTTCTGTTTCAAGTGTATGATGATATTAAAATATGATTTGATATTTTTAAATTGTAGAGATATGATAGATTATTTTATTCTTTAAAAATTTATTTATGCATGCAAGAACTGGGGTACAGGCCAGAGGTGCAGGGGGTGAGAGGATTCACCAGAGACAGAGTGGGGAACAGATTTATTTATTTTTATACAAGAACTGGGGTACAGGTCAGAGGTGTGGGAGGGTGAGAGGATTCACTAGACACAGAGTGGGGAGCAGAACAGGCAGAAGGACCAAAATACACTGCTGAGGGGAGAAGCAGGAGAGACAGGCGAGGTCTGCTGCGCCATGGGGGTATCTCCCTGGACGGCCGGGATTCCAACCAGTGCCTCAGAGACTGCAGACAGCTTCATAGCACTGCACTCAACCCACTGCACCACCGGGGTGGCCCCATGATAGATTATTTTAAAGCTGAGTTTGGAGTATTGATTATTTGTTGAGAAATAAAAATAGCTCTCAACCTCACACAATATAAAATAGGTTCCATGTAGATTGAACATCATCTAGAGATGTGAACTAGTAGAACATTTACAAGAAAACTATCCATTTTGGGCTGTGACTTGGAATTAAAAGGATTTAGGAATCAAGTTTATTTAATACTAAATTTTTAAGAAGGAAGGATTTTAAGTATTTTTACTTTTTTAGAGTATTTCAAAGATCATTTCTTCCAAAAATGAATAAATGGTGAGGACTTATTGAATTTTATGGAGGAAAGTGATGAAATGTATGAGCATAATGGTGGAATGGTCATTCGGCAGTATTGGTGAAATGAACAAACTTCAGAGGTAGTGGCCATAACCCACCAAGTAACATCCCAGGACCCATGTTTTTGCAGTGACAGTGGGCATCAATAGAGGGGTTTGTGCAATAAATACTAGCAGTTTAGTTAGAATTCTTTTTTGTTGTTGTTTTTATTTATTTAGTTAGTTTAGTTAGAATTCTTATAGGTTCTCATGTGATTAAAAAAAAAAGACCATTAAGAAGGTGGAAAGTGAGGAAAAAGACAAAATCAGAGATATCAGGTCAAATTCCAGTTCTTCGGACCTGGAGATATGTCCTTGATGCAATTCCATACCTGCAACTTCCTCATCTCCAAAATGGAATGATAATATCTGTTTTTCAATACATTTGCAAAGTCAATATAACATGTTTCTAAAACAGGTGAGGCAAAAGTTCAGGCACAGAAAATTTACTTTCTCGGAATAAACAAACATTTTATCTTGTGTACAAGAATCAGCTATTTATCTTCTAACCCTGATTCATGCAACAAAAACTGTCCTGCACACTGTCAACTTGGCATGCTCTGAGGTGGCCAAGTGAGGAAACATATCTTACTTGAGAGTAAAGATTGAAAAACTAAAGATAAAAACAACAAGCAAGTCTAATAAAGTAAAACAGAAGTTACCACTGAATTGCTGGAGTAGTGTCCACGCTGATCTGAGAGGGGCAGTAGTGCCCACCATCTCTCCTTGCAGCTGCCCTGCTAGGGGCTCCTGGCTGCTGCTGCCAGAGTCAGCCCTGGGCCCTGGCAGGCAAGCTGCAGAGCCTGCCACCTGCCTACCGCTGCTTCCTGCATGTATGTCTGTGAGGCTGATGGCTTTCTCCTGGGCACGCTCCTGCTCAGGAGCAGCATGTCCTTTCCATGGTGTCGATTGTGGGGGTGGAGTGGACACCATGAGGCAGAGTATGCTATACTTGAGGGCAGAGAGCATCCAGGCCAGTGTCCTCTGGGCCTTCACACTGTATTGGGTCCACGTGCACTGGATCTGCACAGTGGGCCCCGCTGCCACCTTCCTCATCTCCTGACCCAACTCTGTTTCCCCCATGGTGACTGGAACTAATATCCTAGAAGGCAGTGGATGATGTTAGGTAGAATGTGGAGATTTACAGATGTAAGCCCAGTGACCTTCTGAACAGGGGCTGTTTGGAGTTAGGAAAAGATCAGAGAAGCCATTAAAGAGTTTAAAGAGCCAGATACAAGCAGGCTGATGTCTCTTTGGGCCGCGTTACTGTGCTCTGATTCCTGTGTTGTTGTTTGCTCTGGTCAGTTTTCCATGTGTCAGCTCAGACGCTCCTGAAGCCTAGATTAGCTCCTACTTGCTTCTGTTCATATCTAGTCCTGATGCTCTGCTTCTGATAAGCAGACCTGCTCTTCATTCCTTGCAGCAGATCCTGCTTAGTCTGGCTGAAATGGGCCAGCGGCCATTTTCTCACAGGCAGCTCCTGCTTCCTCTGCCGACTAGCCAGGGGCCATCTTGCTCAGTGGGTCCTTGCTTGGAGTTTAGTCTCTAAACCATGGACACTGGCTGGGTAGGAAAGACTGCAGGCAGCCATGTGCCAGCCTAGATGCACTCTCTCACTATTCAGATACTCTTAATTTATTCCTTTTCTCACTCTCTATGTAAAAAAAAAAATTGTAATTTTCGCTTACCCCATGTATTGCTTTTGACTCCTGACCTGTAGTCACAAAGCACGCAGGTGAGGACCCACCAACGTGGTCATCACTTTCCTCTGTAGTTACTCGGTTTCAAATCACTTGTAGTTTTGCATCATTTCTTCAGATTTGATTATGATATCATACTTAACAAATTTTAACTTAATTTTGGTAGATCATCAAAAGCTATGAAGGTCATGTTTCATTCAATAGTTTGCTTGCTATCTTAAAATAAAATGATAATTTGTGCATTTTAGCCACAGTGATTTCAATTTAGAAATCATTGACTTGTCATTAAATTTAGTACTAGAATGAATTCTGATGAGAAAGATAGCTAAGGTTATTAAAGCAAAGTAAACCTATTATCTGACACATGCAAGAGATAAAATTGCATTCTATCTGGGAGCATACAGCTTATACAGCTTCACACAACACACAGTGATTTCCCCCACTGCTTACATGATATCAGATATGCTTCCTTCAAGCACAAAGATGTTTCTATAAGCACAATCTTATATCTAAGAGTTGGAAAGTTCTGGGTTTACTTGTTTATAAAAACCCAGGGCAGTGCTTGGGAGAGGCCAGGTCATTTCCTTTCAAGCAAACTTTTCCCTTTAGCAATTCCACCATCTGTCTTCCTTCTGAACATGATGATCTTCTAGTCTCTTGGGGCTTCTTTGGCACTTTGGGTACTTGACATGATACTCTTCAGATATGTTTTAATTTATGCAGCACCTACAGAAAAACATGTTGGATGGAACTCTGTGCTTTTGATTGCTTATTCAGAAATGATATTGTAGTGACAGGAAGGGCACAGAGCAGGTTTCCTGGGATTGGAGCAGACGGGTAAAGGAGAGTCCTGGAGCCCTTGGTGGCTTTTTCAGGATTTTACCAGTTACATGGCAGGCAGGGGTGGCAGGAGGCCGGGAAGCTGGCAGGCATCCCAGCCCCCGGCAAATCTTCACTTTTTCTGGGCTCTCCTGCATTCCCTCGTGGCCTCTGCTTCTCTGCTGGTTTTCTTCCCGTCTTTCTTTCACTCTAGCTCTGCTGGCATCTCCGTGACGCAGCCCTTATAAGCCCAGTCTCTCAGCCAGGTGTGCCCAGATATCATGCCCACACCCTAGTCCAGGTGTCCGCCATCAGGAATGCATTTAATCTAATGGCAGGAGAGCGGGAAAACCTGATACTTTACTTACAGATATACATAAAAGAAGCCTGTGTAAGGAGTATGGGGAAAATGGCGTTAAATCAGGCTTTTTTTCCCACCTCCTGTCTCTAGCCTCTACAACGAGCACCTGTGACTTTGCTTTCATTCCACATTTCACTGATCATACATGATATCGTGTTGGTGCAAGAGGCACTTGGGAGCATGAGCACCAGCCCCTGTAATCACGGACACACAGGTCAAGAAGCGGGAGAGCATGAGCAAGGGGTGCACGTGCTCATAAGAAGGGATGCCCAGGCTCAGGGATTATTTCCAGGAGAGACTGAGTTTGGCAACATGAGATGAGGTGAATTTCCTCTGGATGGCCAGACAGAGTTGAAGAAGCAAAATGTTTTGCATTTTTAAATTTTTTTTTGTTTAAATATTTTATTTTATATAATTCTTACATCTTTTTTCATCTTTGCACAATGCATGCATTTTCATTTTGGTTATATTCCCCATGCAAACATAGAGCTTCCATATGATCCAGCAATTCTACTCCTAGGGATTTACCCAAATGTCACAGAAAAGTAATTCCAAAGGGCACCTGCACCCCTATGTTTATAGGTTTTGCATTTTAAAAGTTATTTTATCTCTATTAGCCTCAAATTGTGAATACTCATGTAGAAAAATGAATATGACATTGCAAAAGTGCTCTAATGATTATAGACGATGAGCTATCGCCAGCACATTGCCTGCCATGGAATGATTTTCTATTTGTGTCTGATACATATATTTCATTTTAGGTCACATCTCCACAGTAATAAACTCCCTTTCTGCAGGAAGGGAGGCTCAGTAATGGGCATCCAGATGTTGGGACTCTGTGGTGCCCATATTGGGAAGGATGTGGGTGGGCACAGACCTGAAGTTGATTTTTGTGTAGGTTATGGTGGTGGTTTTAATGTTGTGGTCCCAGCTGGCACAGTAGTATATGGCCTCATCTTCATTATCTACGTAAATAATTTTCAAAATTGAAGTGGAAGTGCGTGAGTCTTTGCTGGCTTCGAGTTTGATATTATCACCTATTTTCTGCTGAGCAGGTTCCGTTGTTGATTTGATATACATTAGATGTTCTATATTCTGGCCAGGTTTCTGTTGGTACCAGTGTATATAATCACTGTTAAAGTAACGAGAGGACACCTTACAAGATATGTAGGCAATCTGATTTCTTCTCCTGGAAAGTGATATTTTAGGTTGCTCCAAATTCAGCTGACAAACACCAACTGCAAACAAAGAAGTGAACAAATGATATTCAGCTAAAGAATTTTCTGTGTCTCCATGAGTGAAAAGACAATGTCCCCAAATATTCATGGAACAGATGTGTGCCTCCTCAGCTACATACGGTCTATCATTTTTTTTTTTGTGCTAAATGCAGTGGTTAGTAATCACATGACAGACAACATGGTTCACAGTGTCTAAAATATTTGTTATCTGATCCTCTACAGAAAAATTATCATAGCTGCTGTGCAAATGGGATAAAGGAATGAGTGGATAACTACAACTGACTTTCAAGAAATGATAGAACATATTGACAAATCTGGCTACATGAGGATGAAAACAAAGCTTGCATGTCAGTCTCCCATAGACTGTGGAAAACTCACATGCCCAGAGGGAAGAGAAGATGACAGCTTCCAGAAGAGGCATCCTGTTGGCTGGCTGACTCCCAGGGAGAAGTTGAGAAACTGAAGTCCCTGTTAGCAAGAAAACTAAAGGCAGTGGGAGGAGGGTTGGGCTGGTTCTGGTGTCTCACAGGAAATGGTGACTGATAGGTTGCTGAGGTTGTTCATGATCTGCTACAGACATGAATATCTCTGAGACTTCCTGAGCTCCATGGTGCTGACAGATCTAATAAGAGTGCTCAAAATCTGCCAATAATCCGATGGATGAAGTCATATTTCCTGAGATAGGAGAGGGGTTTGACTTATATGCATTTACCCGTTCCCCCTGAAATTCTACATTGTGAGATTTTGATGCAACCTCCAGAAGTCGTACCTGCTGTGCTCAATCTCTTGTTGATCTTTCTGCAATGTACCAGTGATTTATTTAGGGCTTGAGTATGAAGACATTTTTTTTTCCTGTATTACAAGAGAACAAATTCAGAAACTGCAATATCTCATCAATATTTTTTAATGTGCCACATGCACATACTCTGGGCTATTTTTATTTTTAATTGGGAGATATTACCACACAGATTATGACTGAGAGAAATCAAATTTCACTTAAAACCTGAGAGCCTCCAAGAGTGGAAAAGACCTCAGTTGCTGGAGGTTTATGAGGAAGAGCAAACAATGAATAAAGCTTCTCCTCATGCAGAACCTTGGAGAGTCCCTTAACCTTTATCTCACATGCAGGGGTAGGTACTGTCAAAGCCTTGTGTATTTGATATGACTGATAAGCGTTAAAATTCATATGGCATCTAATACCCACTGAGGACGAGGCTGTTGTCAGGCATTGTTACAGAAGTTTTCTTTTATTGTTTTATTTAATTCTCTCAACGGTCGTGTGATATTGCTATTACCATTAAATAAGCAAGTACAATGAAAGAGACGATATTCATTCAAAGACATAGTACTGAAAATTATGAGAACTCAAATAAATAATTGTTGCACTTAGAGAATGAATAAAATGAGGTATTAAAAAGGAAAGTCTCCCATCATTTACTTTTATTTTGAATTATCTCCACATACTAATAAATATAGAGTTACTTGGTATTTTATATATAAGTATACATTGCTTACGTGGGGTCTACGTGTTTGACTTTATTATCTATTATTTTATATAACTTATTGTGAGCAATATTACAGGTTTTTAAATAATCTAATTAAATTTTATTTTATTGACCAAAGAAAATTAAACACTGTTTTATGCCATTGAACCCTATTTGACATCAGAGTTTTCAAGATCCTTGGACCTCAATTACACATGTGTTGCTCGCATATCTATGTTTTCATACCTTCTAGAGAGATTAGGAGTTTTGCAGTATGATGTCACATGAGGGTAATGCAGAAAAAACTCACATATTAAAACTGATGTATCATGTGTCTTCAGCAATATTATCGATTTGTAATACTATTATTATCAGAAAGAGAAAATTACTTCATTAAATATATTTGCAATAAAACTATACTATCTTATAGGAAAATACGTAAAGTTGATCAAAGTACATGGAAGAACAAAATATCTATTTTTTTAGTAATAATCATCCTTAAAATTTCAGAGAATCACTTCCTCCTTTTTTATTCTTCTATCAATGTAGCAATTTATATTTTAAAAGGTTTTCATATACTCACTAGTTTTTCTATATATTATGAATATTTTGTAGAACTGGGGAAATAGTGGGAGTAGGTGGATTTGGAGGGAGGAAGGGTGGGATCCAACGGGGACAATGTGGAGGATGATCTGGGCGTGTGTAGTAGGTGTTGTGTGAAATATACTCACCTGGCAGGGGAGATACCATAATTATGAAAATATACACTTGTAGAGGCTGAGTTAAACTTGTAGCTCCTAAAGCAGATATAATGACATACACACATTGCTTCAATCAACATAATTGGCAAAAAAATTCTATTGTTCATAAATAGTTCTATTCAAAAAATTATTAATAAACTCACAAAACATTCTCAATGATGGCTCAGTAGTATATCCTTTGAATGCAATGTAATTCAGCTGACACTTTCTTTCTAGTCACCGTTTAGCCAACATGTAAAGAGCTGACAGGGATTCATACTTTAAGGTACACAATAGGGAAACTCACCAAACACACGTCACTTTTGCGTCTCCTTTGGGACTAGATGCCCCTTGTGAAAAAGGCAACAGTCATTTGACAAATCCATCTGTGCATTCCTGTCTGAAAAGGACCTGTACTCAGGTCTTTATGTTTCCTGCAGGCCCTGCTCTCCTTATTAGCTTCTCTTAAAGTGAAAGTAGCCAGAAAGTCCTCAAATAGATTCCAGAAATTAGGCTTGACACACACTGATGGATGGCTGGTCAGGATACATGGACAGGTTAGAATCACAGAAGGTGTGCAACAGAGTAAGGGGAGGAAGTCTGGCAGGCTGGCTCCATGTCAGTCTTTCCTGTGAATCTCCTTTCTCTCAATGGTCTCCCTGCACTGAGGATTAGAGCCAAGGTCCTTCACTGAGCAGAGGAGAGGGATGAATGTACTGCCATGGCCTTGGAAACTGTCAAACAAATAAGGGAATGTGTGTGGCACAGATGCAGAGTGCTCTAGGTGTTCTTCCATGGGGTGTCTAGTGTGTACTATATAAAAAGAATGCAGGCATCAAAGGACATTCTTTTTTTTTTTTCACTTAATTTAGTGGTGGCTTCATAAAACAATAGAATTTTTATTATTTTTTGTTTTGAAAGGCAAATTTATTACATGGACATTTCAGGTACTTGGAGAAAATACTCAAATCCTGGTAGTGTGATGGTATATAAAATGTTGAATTAGCAAGCAGCCCAAGAGTTAGCTTTGTTTTCTCCATGGGATGGAAGCAAGGCACAGCACTTCTTATTTTCCTCTTAGCAAGAGGATGGTCTCTGCATCCAGGTGACCTGAGTCCAACACTGCTCTGCCAAGGACCAGCTGTGTGATTTGGAGACACATGGTTCCTGAGACACTTGGTTTCACTCACTGCATGAGTCAAAGAGTTAATAACAGAGGTGGTTTCATTGTGTATGATGAGAGTTAAAGGAGGGTTGCAAACAATTGTGAACACTAACTAGAACTCTCTCACACACTAACTTACTAGCTGTTCTTCTGTGGGTCATTTCTCTTTTCTCTATGGCAGAACCTATGGACCAATATGGGGGCTCACCTAATGACCCCAGTGGAGCTGAGTATAACTGAGTGCTCCTTCAGCAGAGGTATTCTGCCTGAGACTGTGACACCATATCTTCAGCACCCCAATAAGAGTTGAAGTGACTGATTCTCAACAATAGAATCAGGCAGTCTGCCTATGTTTTTGGTAACAAGAGGGACAGTTAGGGACGGCTAGAGTATATATTAGGGAGATAACTTAGGGGTACCCACAATATTAAGAAATTCCAACTGGCTCCTTGAAGGATGTGGTCAATTAAAAATGAAAGTGCTTTTTTGATGTTGTTTCACTAATTTGAAAAAAATAATGGATTCAAAATATGGGCTCTGAGTTCAGAGACACATGGCTTTTAAGTATGAAAATCTATTATAATATGGTGACACTGAGCAAATAATACAGTCTCAACAAATGGTGCACTTAATTGTTTCTTCCCTAAAGGGCCCCTGTAATTTAAAGGATGTTCTAGAATGTAGGAGAAACTCACCAAATCCCTGTTCACTCCACATCTGGTCTCTCTGCAGGGCAACAGGATCTAGGGGATTGTTAGTGCTTTTATGTGTGTTGTCTGCATTTTTTAAAGAACAGTTACCAGAGTAGGTGGATTGTTGTTGAGGGTTGTATGTGCTAAACACCATTCATTCATCTAAGCCCAAAACTCTAGGAGACAGTGAGCTGTAACCTCATTTTCAGGTAAAGAAATAATGGCAAAAAGATTCGTGCAGCTTTCCCGAGGCCACACAATATAAACACCAAAGCCATGATTCAAAGCCCATCACCCACACTGCAAGGCCTTCATCCTCCTCCATGCTGCTTTGCCCATGTTTGTGCAGCTCTCTGGATTATGTGAGGATCAGGAACCACAGGGCTCCTTAAACACCAGTAAACTCAGTGCAAGTCCTGGTTGACACATGCAGTTTTCATGGGAATGTCCCAAACCAGTTGAATGTGAATCTGGAGGCATTTGCAAGACAAGTAAGGTGGGCACCTTCTTTTGATGTAGTTCCCTTTAGACTGAATGCCTCAAAGAATTTGAGATGCCATGGGTAGAAACCTCCATATTGAGCTCTGCGACACAGTAGAAGGATTTATTTAATTTTAACTTATGTCATCATTTGTAAAATGGTGTTAGGGGAAAATGTAAACACTTTATAGGAGAATTATGAGAATTCAGCAAGAAATGCATTCAAAACATAGCACAATAGGGCCTCCCCTGGTGGAGCAGAGGTTGAGCGCTGGGCTGCAAAGCTGCCCACAGCCTCTGCAGTGCTGGTTCAAACCCCGGCCACTGGTGAGGGTCCCACAAGGCGCGCAGACCTCTCCTGCCGCCCACCACTCCCCTCAGCAGTGTATCTTGGTCCTTCTGCCTGCTCTGCTCCCCGCTCTGGCTCTGTGAATTCTCTCACCCTCCCGCACTTCTGACTGTACCCAGTGCTTGTATAAATGAATACATAAATTTAAAAAAATCTTAAAATAAAAAAAAAATTCAAAACATAGCACAATATCCTTTATAATATGTTCTCAGGTTGTGTATGTTTCTGCTAAGGCTTATTAGCTATAGGCAAGAACCAATGATTTCAAAAATAATCTAAAAGCAATTTGATATCATTTTCTCCCAGACATGAGAAACATAAGTAACACAACTGAGTGAAGTCCTTTGTGGAAATAATACAGAGCATATAACTGTGTACTCCAGTGTCAGTCATTTCGTACCGAAGCCAGCATTTTCTGTGTTAAGGTGCCTCCTAGGAAATTATAGATTGATTTAAAGTATCACTCATTCTATTTTGCAAAATCCTTCCATTTTTACGTCTTCTACCAGGC